CAGGACAATATTGTCACACACCCTGAGCCAAAAAAAAGTTCCATTTTATCTACACCTACTTGAACATAATGTAAAGGTGTAATCAGACTAATACACACTAACAATGCTGCTAGATAGTTTAAGACATGGAATGTTGGCACAGCTAACATTCGTTAGAGCTTAATTACTGCAATCATAATGGCAGTTGATATGATGCAGAGATGTCACCTAACATGCATTTACAGTATAAATGTAGTCATCCAACAGATACACTCATAGTATGGTAAAGGACTTTTCTTTAATACTTATCTTTCTTTAGATATGATTCTATGAAGTTTATTTGAGGATTTCATTGGGTGTGAACACAATGGGACTCTTTGTCTTTGTTTCTTGTGTTTGTGGGTTGCTACATTACTGTTTGCCTTCCCCCTCTCCCCTGTCCCAAGATTTATGTAGGTACAGACCTATTTCTCCCTTCACTGCTGATTAGAAGGTTCCCTAAGGACTGTCATAAATGTGCTCTATCTATCCACCCCACTCTCTCCCCCCCCCCCCCCCCCCCCAGCCCCTTCTACAGTACATTACTTTGTGATTTTATTCCCAAGCTCATGTCCGTGGGTCTGTATGCCCTATAATGAATAGAATCTACAGCTCTCATCTGGCCTGGGAAACAAAGAGATGTGTTGTTGGATGGCTGGTGTGTGTGTCTTTGTGAGAAGGTTCAGGGTGAATATGTCTAGTTATGTGAGAGATGCACATAATGGTGCTAATAAATCATGACTTTGGTCCATTTTTTTAGTAATCATGTCAGAAATCACTAAGGGCATGGAATGTGTATACAGTAGATTATCACTCTATTGTCTCGCAAAGCACAGGGACTCATATATTCTGTTTCAGTGACATAGAGAGATTGTAATAAAAGAAAGGGATGGTTCATAAGAGAGAGAATGGACACTGAGATGAAAGGAATAGGAGAAAAGGATCACAAATCTTTGTTGGTCATTAGAACAGTATCAAGTGCTAGATGTTTCCCTCTCTGTCCCTGACATGAGAGGGAAACACAGGTGTGCATTTGTGTGTTTGAGAGATGTTTTTTTTTAATATACATGGATGATCTAGAATTAAATGCTTGCAACTTGGATGGTAAATAATTAGGAACGGCAAGACGAAATGTAAGAATGATAATCTGACACTCACTGATGCAAGTGACTTGCATAATTTGAATCAAAATCCAAGACACACAAAACATTACAGTCAGAAGTTTATCTAGGTTGTTTCAGATTTTATTCCACAGTACTCAGTGTACTCGTCTGAGTCATGTGTGACCTATTGTGAATTTGCACCTCATGTGACCTGAGTTTGAATCCTGGCTCATAGTCTGTTCACAGTCCTGTTTCCTGCTCTCCTATCCAGTCCTGTCCTATCCAACAACGGTGAAAAATGGCAAACATACGACTTAAAAAAAACACAGTGTTGTGAAAAACACTTTAAGCCACCAAAACAAAAACGTGACAAATAAAATAACATGTGACAGGTGCAGGTTCTCAGATCACTATTCTTAAATGCAAGAAAAAAACATAAATAATTCCTTGGCGTCTCAATTTTGGACCCATATACTGTAAATGGCTTTACATGACATAATACAGACTTGACCTTTTCACCTTTTTACATTATTTTTTTTCAGAAAAGCAAACACAAATGTTGATTATGAATATGATGTAGGCTATAAATTGTTCTTTACTTCTGTGTGAGATGCGGCACTAAATGAGGAGACATACTAAACAGGGATTTAATTCCCTGTGACTGGTTCAAGTGTACTAGATACAGTTGCTAAATGAGGCTACCAGTGACTGAAGATAGAATTACCACAGATTCACAGGATCTTATGCTGTGCAATTAGATCAGGCTTCTGTTGGTTGAAAAGAGCGAGGTAATGTGCAGCTGATTGAGTAGATTCATGTGTCCTTCACTTAAGGATTTCTCTGTCTGCGTTGATTTCAGGTTCTCCCTGATCACAGCACTGTACATTTCCCTGTCCATTCATCTGCTGCCTAATGACTGTCTCTCCATTTCCTCCACCTTGTTCTCTTCTTGCTTTATCTCTCCCATACAGACCCAGAGTTGTCTATTTTTCTTTTTATTTAATCTACACAAACCGGTACAGTATTTAAACTCTGAAATTTTTATTCTGGGAACACTTATCTTTCTGATGTTCTACATTTCCAGCAAATGTTGAATGAATCTATATGGGTCTGTGTGCGTGCACAGCATCTCGTACAGATTTTCTTGTATCTTCATCTGGAGTGCAGAGCACAAAGTGAACTCTGTTGATGCCTCTAAATTGAGGATTTTAGGGGAAATTATAGAGAAAAAGAAGGAAATTAGGGAAAATTATTATTATTATTCATCTTATTTATCTACATTATTATTTAATTACATATTTTTCAAAGTTCCAAAATAAGATTCTGCGTTCTTAATACTTTATGTAGAGAAAAAGGGGATCAGAAGAAAAACAGAAAGCTAAAATGCCACATTGTTTATCCCCATAAAGTATATTTTATCAATGAGTTTTTATTAAAAACATTTTTTTTAATTAGAAAAAAAATATTGATTTTAAAGAAATTATATTAGAGAAATTAAGGACAGATTTTAAAAATTAATTAGTCAGTTAACTTTTCAAATTAGTGGTCTCAATGAAGGCCTGTAAAATTAGGCTGATCGCCAATCAGAAGTGTTCCTTACACATATATTGTATGGATGTGGCGTGCAGCCCTTTAACAGGGTAACTGATATTCAGTGAATAAAAGCTAAATATCTATACCCTTTATTTCACAACTCTATCATAGTTCTCACAAAACAAATAATGCATAATAATAGAAAAAAATTGTTCAGCATTCATTTGAAGCCTGACAGTAATTAGCGGCAGTGCTTTAAATTGGGTTAATGCACAGATGTAATCTTTATCTTCTGCAATATTGCATAGTACAAACCCTTTTCCCCCTTGTAGTAATTTGCTCAGCACTTTTCTTCCAAATGGAAGAAACTGCCAGTCAGCATAGACCTGTGTTTAATGCTTTGAAACACACGATGCGCTAAAATAAGCTCTAAAGAAGAAAAGCAAGTCATGTTTACTAATCACAAATTGACTCAAATGCTGAGTGTATGCATGTCTATGTCCTGCTGGTGTACTGTACGTGTAGTGTGTGACAAGGCCTGATGGTGTTTTCAGTTACAAATCCCAGAATGCTGTACAGCACACTTCATTGAGGCAGATTGTATTCTACTGCCTAATGGATAGTGAACCTGAGATCCCTCACACACAGGCTCTCTCTCTTTTTGTTTCTCTGTCGCTCATTTACCATGTCACACTATCCCTTCAGCAGTGACATCACCACACCACAGCCCAGTTCTCAGATCCCCATGTCATCAATCTCTCCTCATGCAGCTTTTGACCAACCAGACCGCAGCAATGACAGGTTTGGTCTCACCTGAGGAGTCAGAGGTGAAGGCATTCGTGTTACGCCCATGATACACAATATAATCATCCATTAGCCTATTTATAGCACATTATTTGTTGTTTACACACAAATGCACCATTATAAAATACCTCATGCTATACACACCTAAATACTGTTACTTATCTGTAATCAGAGATCTATTGATATACTCACACGTGAGTGGGACAGAAATATCATAAAGCATGATGCTGTGGTATTAAGGCTCATTTTGACCTAATTAATCACTAAATGATGTGGCCTAATTTTATTCTTCAAAGCACACTGACTCCATGGCATGCATTGTTATTTGGTGTTGTTTTAGTACTATTTGTATTATTATAGTACTTTTTTTGTTATATTTCTATTTAGCTTGTTAATTTATTTTAACTTTTGTAATTTTAGTGCTTCTACAACTTTAGTACGTAAAAAAAAAAAAATTTCACTTATTTTCTAAGGCAGGATTTCCTCTTTTTTTATTTTTTATCCAATATTTATATTTTATTTTATTTCAATTCCCGCAAACATTTTTAGTAGTTTTATTTTTATCTTTAGTTAACAATAACAACACTGGTCTTAAAACAAGATTTATTTTAATTCTATGAATTTTGATGGAGACCTTTTAACTTTGAAGTCAGATTTGTTTTCTGAGCATATTGCTCCCACAGCAAACATCACACCTTGAATACACACGTACATACACAAACCTCTGATCCACAGTATTGGCAAAACAGAATTGTCCTTAAGAGTTATGTAACAATCCTTGACCTTTGGGTGTGAGTGCATCTGTGTTTCAATAGGACAGGTGGGGGATTCTAGACATTTCTTATGGCTCTGTCAGGGAGGGACAGTCAACACTCCCTATTGCCTTTTGAGCGTTTTATGTCACTTGTACATATAAGCTGTTTGTGAACTCTTATATTAGTATGTAGAGAAGAGATACAATAAAAAATAAATTAAACATTTTTATTGACATTAAACCTGGTACCTGACACTTTGGGAGTACATTAAGGTGTACCAAAGTCCAATTAATCAGGTTTAAATGACTCAGCTTTATATATAGTCAGTGCACCATAACTTTAAAAGGGAATGGTTCAATGTAACATTTGACAAATCGCCACCTCAGAATAATAAGATTCTATCTGCATTCTGAGAGATTTTGAGCTTCAAAGTTTTTGCATTCCATATACTTTATAGATATAACCTTTTTGTTTTCTAAATAAAAAGTCTGAAAAAATGTACACAACTTAAAAAAAAACATCACATGATGTAAATAAGTTGTCACAGAATAAGAATATGTGAATAACTCAATTTTGACAAAAATGTCAGATAGAACCTTATAATTCTAAGGGGACGAAATGTATTCGTTTTCAAAGATTATAATATTCTGCCAAATTGACAGCTGTTTTAAGAGGTCACTGAAAATAAGCAAAAGGGAAGTGAATTTTAAATGAAAGCCACAAAATATGGAAAGCCATCTTGTTGAGACTTGTTAAAAGTTTAAATGGATTGAACAACAGAAGAGTCATATAGCTCAAACAAGCTTTATTTACATGCGCACCATTTCTTATACAAACTAGATTACAATTCAAAATGGAGTACACAGGAAAAATACTCACAAACATCTAGTAGAGAAGCCATATGACTATAAGATAAGAAGTAATAGAGCAACGGTAATAAGCAGAAGGAGGTGAGGGAGGAAGGCTACGAACAAGGTGGTAAAATGTGGAAATAGTGGTATTTGCTGATTATCATGACGGGTGTAGTAAATAAAACCTGTATTGTTTGAGGATGCTCAACTGGTTGTTAATGGCAAGACAGGTACCTGTGTCAGTCATCTGGAAAAACAAGAATTTTAAGGTGTTTATTTCTTTTTCTAATGAAAGAGGTGTAAGAATACATGCAAGGCAGTTTTTGAGATGGTAAAAATATTGTCTCTGAAAAAATTTACAAGGTTCAGATGTCTTGTATGGGCAATTTACCAATTCATTTCGTACTGGATATCATTAGTTACTATTTGAGTTTAAGTTTGACAAAAGCTTTAGGGTGTGCAATCTTGGAGTAAAGCAGGTGTGTCAAACATTTCATAAGTATAGCAGGATGTATACATATATATGCATTGCACACGATGCATATGTACATTTACACGCATGCATACATGGACATATGCACTGAAGAGTAACCCTCTCCAATGGACAGAAACACAGAACATTAGGATTTGTACATGATTTGTGATAATAGTTGAGCACAACTGAACAAACAAACAAAAAAGTTTCATAAAGTGACAAACCCCCCCATAAAGACATCAAGAAACTGACAATAACACAGAATGGACTCCTGTTGCTTCATCTTCTTAATTCAGAAGACTGTTGTTCATGTTCAAATGTCCATAAAACATTTATGAAATTGTGTACAGCCAGGTTGCGATTAATTCAAGATGAGGCCCTGATGTTGTAATGGAGACCCCACTCTCCCCTGAGCAATAGTGATGCATTTTGCATACAGGGACAGAAAAGTCCCCAAATTTCACTGTGTGTGTTTTGTGATTTTGGCTGCCAGCATCTCCTACATTTTCAAGTAATTTGGCAAATATATAAAAGATAGCTTATTGTTTTTGCTCAGTAAAGATGGCTTCCAGAGGAAAGGCCTATCCATCATTGAATGCTGCCATGATGCTAATGCTAATCAATTATACTATGTCCTCATGGCCAGGGAAACACATATGGCCTTAATAATAGGACAGGGCTCAACACTGATCATTTAGCACCTGGTATGGCATGGAAATGTCCACAATGCAAGTTAATATTTACTTATTCATTACATTTGGCTACATTTATATGCAAGAAGTCCAAACATAACTTTGCTGGCTAAATAAGACGCCTCCACCTGCTAAGCTTTCGATTTTACCATTTTTTTGTACAGTTACAGACAGTACACACAAATTAATTACTCCTTGTATGGTTATATTCAATCACAAAAATGTATTACTTCAGTATTATTATGAGGCAACTATATTTCAGATTGGGAACTAACTACTGTATGGTAACAGTGAATTAAAAATGAAAGCAATTGTTGAAGTGCACTGTGTCAAGCTATATTGCTCCACCTGAGCTCTGTAATTTTCCAGGTTAACTCTCCACCTCTATATAAATCAATGACTACACAGTTAGTGCTTAGAGGATGACAGAAATAGCCAATCATTTAACAAAAATGTTAGGGAAAACAGAGAGAGACCCCAAACAAGGAAACTGTTTATGATAGAAAAGCTACAACAGGCCTCTTGCAACAAAGGGATAATTTTGAACATTTTATAATGTTGCATAATGATCTGCAAGTTCGCTGTTTGTTTGTTTGTTTGTTTGTTTCTCCAATGGGCAGTCTTTTGTTATAGTCTCGGCCTGCTGAACTGAAGGTAAACATCATCATCAACATCATCTGGATGTTGTAGTCAGATGGACCTGTAAACAGGCATATCATCCAGTGCTTGCCGCAGACAGCAAACTTGGCAAAGGATACTTCAAGACTGTTGGATGTTTTTTGTGCTGGATATTTCTTTGTAGTTGTTATTCTATTGTTTGTTGTTTTCTCTGCAGTTCTGAGCCTAGATAGAGATAAAGAAAAGTAATGCTCTGTAATAATAAATGTAATAAGAAAAACAAAACACATCCTATACAGTATAAGGGGTCATTCAAACAAAAAGTGATTTTGCTTTCTATTGCACTGCTTTTCCATTTGGTTTTTCTATGTAAACATGTGGTACACACAGACAGCTTTGACCGATATGTTTGTGTCTCGGGTCTTTGCAGCATCTCACGCATTACAAAGCGTTCCAAAAAACGCAGTGCTCAAGTTGAAAGAAGTTTAAAAAACAGTGTCTCTAGACCTTTTTTCCATTCCACAGTGCTGCATCCTGCCTTTTTAAACACAAAAACTTTGTCCTGTTTGAATGGCCCCTATTAAAATTTTTCTTTCCTAATCAAACTGAAATTTGTTTGTCAAATTGCCTTTTTGTTTCTCCATGACAAGGACAGCTACTGTATGACTGTATATTTTGGCCTACCTAAGTGACTGCCATCAGCCAGGCACCCAACTTTGATTGGATTGCTTCGTCCCGGTGAAGTTTCCCACAGGATTCAAACTAACAGCGCTTTGCACCAATGCGTCAAAGTTAAAATCCAATCCATCAGAGTCCATTAGTTCTGAGCGAATTATGGAATCCACATCGCAATCCAGACTGCCATTAAACATGTCCAGGTCCAAGTCTGATGGAAAACGATCTGTTCCTGAGGGATGGCAGATCCCCACTCCGTTACTTCCATTCAGGCCAGAGTAAAGCGAAGTCTCGGTCATCAACATGGAGGGCTGTGGCTGGAGGTGCTGTTTTGCAGAGACTAAATTATTAGCATTGTTAGCTAGACTTTGCGCCCTGTTGTTGGAGAGGGAACACAAAGAACCCTGGACATTGGACCCCAGTTGCTTGTTCTGGAGGTGGCTGCTTCGCCCATTGAGCACAGAACTGAAGGATGACATCATAGGATCATTACGTAGCATGAGGCCATTGCGAAGACGGGAGTTTTGCGAGGTGACAGCAGCGCTGGCCTGTGATATGAGTGGGTCTGACTGTGTCATCATGACGTCACTATGACTGTGCATAACCAGAGAATCAGAGTTCAGCAGCTCCTGAAGCGAGTTCCCAAAACAAGAAACACTAGAGAGTGCTTGCCGCAGACAGCAAACTTGGCAAAGGATACTTCAAGACTGTTGGATGTTTTTTGTGCTGGATATTTCTTTGTAGTTGTTATTCTATTGTTTGTTGTTTTCTCTGCAGTTCTGAGCCTAGATAGAGATAAAGAAAAGTAATGCTCTGTAATAATAAATGTAATAAGAAAAACAAAACACATCCTATACAGTATAAGGGGTCATTCAAACAAAAAGTGATTTTGCTTTCTATTGCACTGCTTTTCCATTTGGTTTTTCTATGTAAACATGTGGTACACACAGACAGCTTTGACCGATATGTTTGTGTCTCGGGTCTTTGCAGCATCTCACGCATTACAAAGCGTTCCAAAAAACGCAGTGCTCAAGTTGAAAGAAGTTTAAAAAACAGTGTCTCTAGACCTTTTTTCCATTCCACAGTGCTGCATCCTGCCTTTTTAAACACAAAAACTTTGTCCTGTTTGAATGGCCCCTATTAAAATTTTTCTTTCCTAATCAAACTGAAATTTGTTTGTCAAATTGCCTTTTTGTTTCTCCATGACAAGGACAGCTACTGTATGACTGTATATTTTGGCCTACCTAAGTGACTGCCATCAGCCAGGCACCCAACTTTGATTGGATTGCTTCGTCCCGGTGAAGTTTCCCACAGGATTCAAACTAACAGCGCTTTGCACCAATGCGTCAAAGTTAAAATCCAATCCATCAGAGTCCATTAGTTCTGAGCGAATTATGGAATCCACATCGCAATCCAGACTGCCGTTAAACATGTCCAGGTCCAAGTCTGATGGAAAACGATCTGTTCCTGAGGGATGGCAGATCCCCACTCCGTTACTTCCATTCAGGCCAGAGTAAAGCGAAGTCTCGGTCATCAACATGGAGGGCTGTGGCTGGAGGTGCTGTTTTGCAGAGACTAAATTATTAGCATTGTTAGCTAGACTTTGCGCCCTGTTGTTGGAGAGGGAACACAAAGAACCCTGGACATTGGACCCCAGTTGCTTGTTCTGGAGGTGGCTGCTTCGCCCATTGAGCACAGAACTGAAGGATGACATCATAGGATCATTACGTAGCATGAGGCCATTGCGAAGACGGGAGTTTTGCGAGGTGACAGCAGCGCTGGCCTGTGATATGAGTGGGTCTGACTGTGTCATCATGACGTCACTATGACTGTGCATAACCAGAGAATCAGAGTTCAGCAGCTCCTGAAGCGAGTTCCCAAAACAAGAAACACTAGAGAACGATGTTTGCTTGTTTTCCTGGATGGTCTGCATGGGCGTCTGACGTAGGCCTCCTGCTGAAGGCCCAAAAATGGTGTTACTGAATCCTCCGGTGTTGTTGCTCACAGTTTGGGATGAAGAGGAGCTTGGGGGTGATGTGGTGCTCTTGGAGCCAAAACTGAATGCAGAAGACCCTTGAACTACCTGCACTTGTGTGGCGATGTTGTCCAACAGATCGACCATTAGGTTGTCAGCCTCATTGAGATTCATTGTGCCAGTCAAGTCAGCTAGCCCTGGAAGCTCAGCGGGGCATGTTTTGGAGTTTGATGAGGACGATGAGGGAGGAGAAAGTCTGCTGGGGCTAGAGTAGAGCATTGGAGACAGGGGTGGGCCATCTGGAACATCATCAAGCTCTGGATTGGCCAAGATAGGTGACAAGCGTCCACTCAGGGTGCTAGCATTGGAGTTAGTTCGTGAGCGGAAGTCAGTCCAACAGGATTCCAATTCATCGCTGCTCCGGGAAGTGGGACTTCCTGGCCACTTGGACAGACCACCAGTAGATACGTTCTCCAGTGAACCCTCTTGAGCAGCCTGCAGCGCTGCCTTTTTCTTGGCTGCACGCCCACGTGCAGTCTTGGTGTATTTGTTACCATTGTCCATGGAGACTGCACGTCGCCTTGGCGCTTTACCTCCCCGCCCCCCTTCAGGATTGATCATCCACCATGAGCTCTTTCCAGTCCCCTCATTCTGTACACGGATAAAACGGCTATGCAAGGACAGGTTATGCCGGATGGAGTTCTAGAAAGAAAGCAGACAGAGAGCAGAGAACAACGGGTGGTTATTAATCATACCATCACATGATTCAGGAAATAATCACTTGATAAATTAAATTTTGTAATGATTAATTTTCAGGAGTTTTTGAACATAACATGTATCTTAATTGTGGCAGGACATCTAGATAGATTGATCTAGATGTCCTGACTCTATCTATCTGTCTGTCTGTCTGTCTGTCAGTCCATCCGTCCGTCTAACTTTATGCCATTTATGTTTGTGGACAACTGTCAGATCAGCAGTCTTCCCCATTATTGTGTAGCCTAGTGAACCAAACTGAGAGGCCATTTTGAAGGCTCAGGAAACCTTTGCAGGTGTTTTGAGTTGATTAGCTGATTGGCATGTCACCATATTCTCATTTGTTGAGATAGTGAATTGGTGGGTTTTTGTTAAATGTGAGCCAAAATCATCACAATTAAAAGAACCAAAGACTTAAACTACTTCAGTCTGTGTGCATTGAATTTATTTAATACACGAGTTTCACAATTTGAGTTGAATTACTGAAATAAATGAACATTTCCATGACATTCTAATTTATTGAGATGCACCTGTACAAGACACCATCATGATGCACCAACCTAATTTATGATATCTGAAGAACAGGTACTTTTCAGAACTAATGAATAGGAAACAAGTGGAAAATAGATGCCACACGTACAATGTGATCTCGAGAGGCTGAGAAAGCACAATGTGCTGTGTAACTATAGAAACTTAGCAGAGGAAACATATTACAGCTGGTCACCTTGGCAGAACAGAGAGGTTACATTTCTAAAATATTCTCTTTTTTCCTTCAATAATGCAAAGGATGCACTGGTATATATAGACCTCAATAAATGCTAAATATTTCAATTATCATATATGTTCTAAAATATACTGTGCCTTATTATTTATAACTATCAGACATAAAGAGCTTAGTTCACGTTGATGAGCACATTTCTCAACTGAACTACCCGTCTCATGACTCACAAGATGTGTGTTGAGCTATGAAGAGCGATACCATGGATACCGGTGTTTACAGTGCCAAGTTTCTCTAGAGATTAATGACATAATGTTTGTGTGTGTGAGGGAAAAGAGGCGGAAGGGTATGACTAAAACCTCAATGGAGCAGCGTGTTGTGAATGAAGTCATTAAAACCGATTCATTTTCTTCCTCCACTTGCTTGGCAGCTCTAAACAAACTTGTGGCACTGACACCAATAACAAACTTGTGCCAGTTACACCAAATACAGTACATTTTCTCCTTTCTTTCCATGCATATATCTATCTTATTTTAACTGCTTCTTTTAACTTTTCCTTACTGCGTAATCCTGTTCTAGGCAAGGCCCTCAGGAGAGGACCTTAATAAGTGTTTACTGAGTGTTTGTGTGTGTGTTTTGATTGTCAGAGTATCAGTGTCTTTGTGGTTAACACTTTTCAGAGCCGACTCACAGCAATTCTACTGCACTTGTGCTACCATAAAATATAATACAGCTTGAAGAAAAAGAAAAGGGTTTGGATTTATATCCTCCTACATGAGATATTTGTGCAGGAAGCCCCCAGCTCAAACGTAACCTATCAGTATACTTTCACTAAAATGCTCACTTACTATGTGCCACATACAAACTATAAGAAGCACAAGTGCAGTGCACACACCCTGTAAACCCCATAATTATCCTCTCGGTCAGAAAACACATACCCACACTTTAATCTACAAAGCTCATCCTTTCAGCCTGAAACTAATGGGACACTAACAGTTTTTCTGTCCTTTTAATGCTAAAAAAATTACAAAATCCAAAACAATATCAATTTTCACCTGTTGTGTTTAAATTTAAGCCATTTTGTGTAAATGTATAGTCAGTATGATGTGTATGATCTCTCTGCACACGTGTGTGTTGGGGAGGCTGTTAACTGAGCACCCAGCTGCATACTGAATCTCTCTGGAACACAGAGACCTTTTTGTCCATCAGCAACATGTGGTAACAATCCATCAATGTCAGCAAATACGCAATGCACACACACGCAACTGGCTTCGCTCACATTCTTCTTCTGAGAGATGTGTTTTAGTTATCTGGTGCTCTCTTTGAATGTTATTACGCTCTGACTGGTCATTTTTGTGATGTCAGCAAGCCAGTGACTATACAAACCTGTAACCAGCAGACACTTGCCTACAAATCAACCAAACCAAAACCACAGGGATATAAACCTGCCAACCCTTACGAAAGAGTTAGACTGGAGAAAATTATATTGATTAAGAGGACATTTTAAATATTGAGAGAATCTAACTGTAGGTTTGTCATCATTTTGATGTTGAGACCATGGCTGGGCAATAGCTAAAATAAATAAATATTGTATACAATAAATGTTGGATAAAAAAAGAAGAAAAAAAAAAAGGATATATATTTTTTTTACCCTTTGACATTATTTATCATATATCTTAAAGGTGTCATATGATGCGATTTAATTTTTTCCTTTCTCTTTGGAGTGTTACAAGCTCTTGGTGCATAAAGAAGATCTGTAAATTTGCAAAGACTAAAGTCTCAAATCCAAAGAGATATTCTTTACAAAAGTTAAGTCAGCCACACCCTCCTAAAACGGCTCGTTCGAACATGCCCCCACATATCTACCTCACTATGTGGGAAGATTTGCATAATGCCGCTCAAATGTTCACGCAAAGAAAGAAGGCGTGGTTTCAGTAACCGCAGTTAGTGTTGAAGCAGCCATGCCAGGGAGACGCTGTGTGTTTCTAGGCGAAAGCAAAAGCACTTTATTATGCATTTAGGAATCTTTAAGATTACTTACAACAGAACAGCAATGCATTTTATGGAGTAATATGCATTGCTAAGAACTTCATTTGGACAACTTTAAAGGCGATTTTCTCAATATTTAGATTTTTTTTGCACCCTCGGATTCCAGATTTTCAAACAGCTGTATCTCGGCCAAATATTGTCCTATCCTAACAAACCATACATCAATTTCGAAAAAATGACCCTTATGACTGGTTTTGTGGTCCAGGGTCACATATATCAACCAACCCAATAGCATATGTCTAATTTTTACATGTGAATGCAGTTCCTTTGAAAGCTTGAAAGCCAGCGAAGAGCAACTAATCTCTTTCTCTCATTGGAGTTCACACACCATGCCACATAACAAAACACAATTCACATCTTTATAAGGACCCATAAAGTCCTTCCATGAAGTCCACCCTCCACTCCCTACTCCCCTCTTCCCACTTTCCCCCCCTCATCACACACATACCCAGCATTATTTCAGCAGCAGGAGCACACACTTACTTCAGTAACTCAAGTCAGGGCCAATGTATGAATACGGGTTTGGCAGCTGAACATTTCACTGCGGTTGCCTTTCAGTGACATACAGTGTGGAGGGCAGTGTGTGTGCGAGTGTGTACACAAAAGTTACATTTCCAGAAATCCGCAGGAATAGATTTTATTTCTTAGCAAACCTAAGAACTGGCTTTCTTAGTATTTGGTCGAAATGCTTTTATGTTTGTGACCAAAAGGAAAAGAAAACATTCAGAGTCTAGTGTTTATGATTTTAGGAAGGGTCAGAGTAGAGGACAGTTAGAAAAAGACAAACCCATTTTAAGAGAGTTTGTGAGGGAAGGTGTACAGGGCACTTGAGCAGTTTGGAAATAAATTGAAACCAGTGTTAATTTTACACCATTTAGATTTAGTTATAATTTCTGTCTTTTCAGAAAATGGACAATATTTATGATTGATTCTTTGATGAAAAGTAAGCAGCATTTATTTGAAAAATCTCTTGTAACATTATGAAGGTCTTTCCTGTCACTTTTGATCAAATTAATGCATCCTTTAAATGTTAATGTATATATTGTACAGCTGATTTACATTGTATAAATATCTCATCTTCATTATTGTTGATGATATAAAAAAGCCTCTCATCAACAAACATTTTCTTTTAGTAATGTCCTTGACTAGATGAACACTATCACTGACACAGCAAAGGTGTAGAGACAGGCAGTTTATGCACAAATGCAAGCACACAAACGCACACACACACACACACACACATACACACATAGGGTCCAAGCACACTGACCCGCACCCTCCCACTCTCGCCTCATCCCATTCCCAGCTGCCTTGACTGCTGGAGAGAGGAAGAGAACATTCCATTCCATCCAACCAAAATGTGCATTTTCCGGCCAGCACAGGACGTCTCTCCTTTTGTGTGTGTACAGCTTATTCCAAAGTGTGAGTGTGAGACAGAGTTTGTATATGAATTGACTGAAAACTGTAGTGGACCGCATGTGGAGCGGGGCTCCAGTTCTCTCTGAAAGTACATTCTGTGTTTTCTGTTCTCCTTCTTCTGTTATTCTTCTGTTCTTTCAGAGGTTCATACCTCCCAGCCAACAATATAAGAGTTTCTCAACACAAATTAAAGTAATTGTGCAGGTCATGCATGACTAACCAGCTAGAAACAATTACATAACTGCATGCAAATCTTAGGGAATGTTTATTCCTTTCCCTCCAGAGTTTTACACAGAACTAATAATTGGAGCGAATGTTTCCAAAACATTACTAGTACAAAGCATTTTAAGCATGTAAGACTACCCAAGTATGTGTGTGTTGTGTGCACATTGCATAATGTGGCATGTTCAAAGACCTTGTTTATTCTAGGACTTTAGATCCAGAGGGTGGTGGCCTTCCCAGCCCACTCTGTTTAGCCAATCACATCGTTCATACACAGGCCCGCACAAACACACACCAGTTGTACAGCTGACCTCACTGTAGCAATGTCATCTGTGCTGTCCAGCAAATGTACACAATCACTCCTAACTTTGATTTCCTCACATTTCGGCTTAGCATTTATAGCTTATAAACATGCTCATTCTGATTCAAGAGCTTGACAACCACTCTCATTAGCATGTCACAGCCACTAACATATGGAGACGTCACAGCAGTGTGCCTGCAGTAATAGTATTAGGTGGCAGGGAGTATCTTAGGACAACAT